ACTTTGTTTTCTCCAAATTTTGATTTGTATGGCTATTATTACTCGATAGGTTCGTTGGTGTAGGTGAAGCTTCTTTCATCAGTCTTGTAGCTCCGTTTATAGATGATAATGCTCCTCACACACAGGTTTCTCTATTAACCGTTTTTTTGCACATCTTATGGATTCAAAATGCAACATTCGTCTATTTCTGATTAACCCTTTTTGCTTTTAACTTCAGAAAGCTGTGTGGCTTGGTGTGTTCTACATGTGTATACCAAGTGGTGTTGCTTTGGGCTATGTCTATGGCGGATACGTATGTATATTGTTGGGACTATGACATTAGTTTATAGAAAGTTGTCTTAAAGGTTCAAAATTTGTGATTTTCAGGTTGGAAAACATTTTAGTTGGCGCTATGCGTTTTGGGGAGAAGCTGTATTAATGGCTCCATTTGCTCTTCTTGGTTTCTTGATGAAACCTTTGCAGTTAAAAGGTGAAGTACAGATTCTGTCTTGTGTTATTAAAAGCATAGACTGTTAAAGATATTGTATATGGTGGATCATCGTCAACAGAACAGGAAATTACTAATATTAATTATTTTGGTAGCAAATATAGAATTAGTTTAACTGGATAGGAAACCACACACACACAAAAGCTTCAAATTTGCATGGAAAATTTTGAATTACACGTTTCGTCTATTTTGCAATGTCTAAAAGTAACATTACCCTTTTGGACACATTTTGCTAGGAAAACAAACTAATAAGCACTATAGTAGTTTGTTTTTTTTGTCTTTTGAATCAATAAATAGTATATTTCCTTTATTTATATTGTGAAAAAGGAACTTTCTCATTTATATATGCAAAACTAGGTATGGCGTGGAACTCAAGCATCCCTGTACAGCCACTCTTGCATTTGAACTTACTTGACAAATGAGATAGACACAGTAATAGATGCTTGTGTTGCAAGGAAGCGATACGTCATTTCAGTTCCAAGAAGAGATAATACTTATTCTCTCTGGCTTCTCGTTGGTTTTGCAGAGCTTTCAAAATAATTTATTTGCATGCCTTCTGTCCATAGTGCGCATCATAGTTTTTAATCGAGTAGATTAACTTATGTTTAGTATCACGACGCAATTAAAACAAACCATATAAATTAAACTCGAACAAAGAAAAAAAATGTATCATGACAAAAGAAACCAAACAAACAAAAATAGATTTCTCAAACTATTCCAGCAATATTGACTAGTCAGTTTTGTTTCACGAGGGAAAAGACGAAAGACGATGACTTGAAAAGTAAGCCAACTCTGCTCTGAACTCCAACAATTTCTTTTTCAACCTTATCTTCTTCCTGAGAGCTCTCTTTACATCGACCACATGATTATCATTACCCATGACAAATCGTCTCTTCTTGACTTGTACTCTTTTGTAATGTATATATAATTTCTTTTTCATTAATTTGGTTGTGTATATCTTTTAATTTGGTTGGACCAAAACTTTTGGAACACAAATACATTTACTCTCTTTGCTCAACGTGAATAACACTTCGTACAAAGACTTGATGGTGAGAGTCAATCTGAGTGAATCTGGAGCACTCTCTATATGCAATGTATATAAAGAGATGGGCATGAAACCATGTTTTATTATCACCATTTCCAGCTTTCGCTTCTTCATTATTGATGTTCAAGAAAATTAAATTAGCTTAAAGAAGAAGAACGAAAAGCTCTTGGAACTCAATGAGGACCATTCATATTACTTTTTCTTTTCTCTTCTCTTTCATACTTTATTTTCAAAACATGTCTGCGGTTCCTATTAGACATGTGTGTCGTCCAGAACAAAGAGATGCACTTCTCAAGTTCAAGAACGAGTTTGAGATTCGGAAGTTTTCTTCTGATCTTGATTGTTATTATGATAAAGGTATTGCTCCTTATCCGAAGACGGAGTCATGGGGAAATAACAGTGATTGTTGTTATTGGGAAGGTATCAAGTGCGATGCCAAGTCTGGGGAAGTGATCGAGCTAGATCTCAGCTGCAGCTGCCTCCATGGCAGGTTTCATTCGAATACCTTTCAAAACTTTCCTTTTCTATCTTCTCTAGACCTTTCACGTAATGATTTATATGGTCAAATCCCATCCTCCATTGGAAAACTTTCTCATCTCACCTCTCTCGACCTTACTAGTAATCATTTCTCTGGCCAGATTCTGTCTTCAATTGGAACTCTTTCCAATCTCACCTCTCTCGCTCTTTCTGGTAATCAATTTTCTGGTCAGATTCCATCCTCAATTGAAAATCTTTCACATCTCACCTCTCTCGCTCTTTCTGTTAACCGGTTTTCTGGTCTGATTCCATCCTCAATTGGAAACCTTTCACATCTCACCTCTCTCTTCCTTTCTTATAATCAGTTTTGGGGTCAGATTCCATCTTCAATTACAAAGCTCTCTGGTCTCGAATCTCTTCAGCTCAGCGGTAACAGTTTCAATGGTGAAATCCCATCTTCTTTTGGTAGTTTGAAACAGTTGACCAACTTAAGATTAGATACCAATCATCTCAGTGGAAACTTTCCCATTGCACTACTTAATTTGACAAAGATGTTGTCTTTATCACTGAGCTTCAATCAACTCACAGGAACGCTTCCTCCAAACATTAGCTCACTCTCCAACTTGGAGAAGTTTTTCGCAGATGGCAACAATTTCGTTGGAACCCTTCCTTCTTCTCTCTTCAACATTCCTTCTTTGGCATATATTTATTTGTCAGATAACCAACTCAACGGCACTCTTGAGTTTGGGAATATATCTTCACCATCTAAGCTAGAAATTTTACTCCTTGACGGTAACAACTTTAGAGGGCCAATCCCTGGATCCATTTCCAAATTAGTCAATCTTGAGATACTTTACCTTTCCCATTGGAACACCCAAGGCCCAGTTGACTTCAGTATCTTCTCGCATCTCAAGTCGCTCCAAGAACTTAGATTATCCCATTTGAACACCACAACAGTGGTTGACTTGAATGCAATCTCATCATGTTCCAAGTCACTTCGGCAACTGGATCTCTCCGGAAACCATGTTTTAGCCACAAACAAAAGTTCTGTTTCAGATTCTCCTTCACAGATGATACGTTATTTAAACTTGTCAGACTGCGGTATTACCGGATTTCCAAAGCTCGTAAGAACCCAACAGGATATGAAGGATCTTGACATTTCCAACAATAAAATCAAAGGTCAAGTTCCTGGCTGGTTATGGACACTGCCAAATCTGACGTACGTGAATCTTTCCAACAACACATTCATCCGTTTCGAAAGCTCAACGAAACATGGACTATCTTCTGCCCTGGAGTACTTGTTTGGCTCTAAAAACAACTTCACAGGAGAGATTCCATCTCTCATATGCGAGTTGAGCTCTCTAATCATTCTAGATTTATCAAGCAACGATTTCAACGGTTTAATCCCTCTTTGTATGGGACATCTCAAGAGAAATCTCTCAGTTCTGAACCTACGTCAGAACCGTCTTAGTGGAGGTCTTCCGAAGAATGTATTTAAAGGTCTAAGAACGCTTGATCTTGGACATAACCAATTGGTGGGAAAGCTTCCAAGATCGTTGATCCATTTCTCCACTCTTGAAGTTCTGAATGTGGAAAGCAACAGAATCAACGACACGTTTCCCTTCTGGTTGAGTTCTCTACAGAACCTGCAAGTTCTTGTCTTACGCTCCAATGCATTCCATGGACCATTACATCAAGCCTCGTTCCTTCAGTTGAAAATCATGGACATCTCACATAATCACTTCAGAGGAATTTTACCAGCGGATTGTTTTGTGAACTGGAGTAAAATGTCATCTACTGGGATAAACGAAGATCAGCCGACTGAAAAGTACATGGGAGGAGGCTATTACTATGATTCAATGGTTTTGATGAATAAAGGTGTAGCATTGGAGCTGGAACGTATCGTAATGATCCTCACAGCACTCGACTTCTCTGGAAACAAACTTGAAGGAGAGATTCCAAAGTCCATCGGCTTACTGAAAGAGCTTCACGTGCTCAACTTGTCAAACAATGCTTTCAATGGCCGCATACCATCGTCCATGGGGAACCTGACAGCTCTGGAGTCACTAGACGTTTCCCAAAACAAGCTTTCTGGAGAAATTCCACAAGAGCTAGGGAATCTCTCATTCCTTGAGTACATGAACTTCTCCCATAACCAGCTTGTGGGTCTAGTTCCAGGTGGCACTCAGTTTCGAACGCAGCCTTGCTCTTCATTCGCAGACAACCCGGGACTTTTCGGCCCTGCTCTTGAAGATGATTGCGGAGATATCCACAAGCCTTCATCGCAAAAGTCTGAAACGCCAGAACCAGAAGAAGAGGATGAAGACGTGTTTAGTTGGATTGCAGCTGCAGTAGGATTTGTACCTGGAATTGCGTTTGGGTTGACGATTGGATACATATTGGTTTCATACAAACCAGAGTGGTTCACGAGTCCTTTTGGCCGAAACAAACGCAGAAGAAGAAGAAGCACCACAGCTAACTAGAGAGGTAATGTTTCTGAATTTGAAAAAATATATTATAATGAATAACCGAAACAAACGCAGAAGAAGAAGAAGCACCACAGCTAACTAGATAGGTAATGTTCTGATTTTTTAAAAAATATATTATAATAGCATTTTCTGGATGAATGAATAAGTGAAACTAACGTATATTTTGTTTGTGTAGCCTTCGTAAACCCTACTTGAAGAATCTTTGCAAAATGGACCGGAGAGAAAGAAGTTTGGGGTAGAAGGCAACCCATTTCAGTTATCAGCGCCTTGATTTCAGTTATTGTTTCCGGTTACTCTGTTTTTGTTGTGTTCTTTCCTCTGTTTTTCTCTTTTACTTTGTCTTTAGCCAATGTTTGTATTTCTATGTATTCCTGTTTATTTGATGGACATGATTATACATAGTCAAGGTCCAATCCTAAGAGGATTTATCAAAAGAGATATATTTACTATAACATGAACTATGTGTTTACATTGTGTGAAACCAAGTTTAAGACCATTATCAATGGCTCTCTCTACCGTTGCGATTTACATATTTGGCGATATTCTTTCTTCTCCTCTTGTCGGTATCGTTCAGGTAAAAAAGATCTCTTCCTGACATCGAAGATTGATTCATTGTTGTTGTGTATGCAGGATCATATCAACAGTTGGAGAAAAACAGCATTGATTCTCACATCGGTTCTGTTCTTAGCTGCTGCTATATGGTATATTAATTTATATAGATTCTACGGTATAACATAAACTGTTGATGAATAACATAAAGCAAGAAGAATCTGAGTTTGAAATAGGGGAGAAAAAGTTTGAGGGTAATCGATTAATAGAGCCTACCGGTACACTCAGAAGAACCACAGTAGCAAATCTTCTTCTTGATATTACCGTTAACATCGCGCACCTGGTCGATCATGTAATTGTAATGGTAAGTGAGTTCTTGAAGCGGAGGTATATTGTCCATCGCAAACAGCATCACGTGAGGGATCCTCTTGTCTTCATGATCATACAACACGTTCTGTGCATACAGATTCGGCGGCGTAAAAGACGCACAGAAATACATGTACACAGTGCCACGATTCACGTCACAGTGACGACATATGTTTCTCTTTTTTTCGTAAAATCTGATTATTTTATAGTATTATACTATTTTATAGTAAAAGGGTGATACAAATAGTTTATTATCCAAAAAAATAGTGAATGAAAAACAAACGTGAACTATTTAATTCATAAGCTTTTTTACAATATATCCATTATCTGATTTTTTTCCTGATTAAGTATTAACGTACTCTAAAGAATAAGCTGATGACAAATATCACAAAAATAAAATTTCCAAATTCCATGTTTTCTTGACTTCTATTGATAATTTGAATTAGTTGGAAACAGTTTCCTTTGAACCATACATTCCTCCATCTTTTACTCCACACGTTGCACAACATGTAAGAAACCATTTGCTTCGGGTTTTAATGGGGTATAGACTCGTGGCAATTTGGCATTTCAAGACTCTACAACTTTGTTATTGGAGCATACTCATATTGGATACCAAATGCTGTTATAACATTTACAAAATGGTGAAAAAGTTGTTTCTATCAATCTTTCTTCTTGAGGGTTCTTGAAAGTTTGTTTTCTGATAAGAATTTTATCTTGACAGAAAAACGCTGATTTGATCTTAGGCGCAATAACTATCATTTGCGGGATCATTGGGACATTATCAGGAGGGTTTATACTTTATCGTGTCACTGCAACAATTCCAAATGCTTTTAAGGTGAAGAAGAAAAGCTTTTTTCTCTCTTCTTGTTTTTGGACTTTGACACAAAACCTTTTTGATCTTTGTATGCAGCTTTTATCCGGAGCAACGTTTCTTGGAGCGATCTTTTGCTTCACTGCATTTACCTTAAAGAGTTTATATGATTTCATCGCTCTCTCTGCCTTAGGAGAGCTTCTTGTGTTTGCTACACAGGTAAAAAAACTTTGAGCCTTAGTGTTGTAATATTGTTATGTTTCTTCATCAAGAACAAGAACAAGAACAGATTCGTTTATCTTCTTCTTCTTTCAGGCTCCTGTGAATTATGTGTGTTTACATTGTGTGAAACCAAGTTTAAGACCATTATCAATGGCTATGTCTACCGTTGCGATTCACATATTTGGCGATGTTCCTTCTTCTCCTCTTGTCGGTATCGTTCAGGTAAAAAAAAGATCTCTTCTTGTCATCGCCAATATGAGTATATGCAAACAGAAACCAAAATGCTCCATTGTTGTTGTATCTGCAGGATCATATCAACAGTTGGAGAAAAACAGCATTGATTCTTACATCGGTTCTGTTCTTAGCTGCTACAATATGGTTTATAGGTAAAAAGCAAATCTCAATTCTTGAACCTAGATAAATCTTTCTTGTTCCAAATCAAGAAGCTGTTTTTGTTGCGAATTTTGTTTTGGCAGGGATATTCATAAACAGTGTAGATCGGTTTAATGGAGAAGAAAGTGAAAGTGAGAAGCAGAGGAGGCAAGAACAATCGATTGTAACTCCATAAATGAATAAATACTATATAGCAAAAGTAGAGAAATCTGTGTGTATTTGTACAGTTACAAAACACAATGAGCCAAATCTCACACAAAAGCTTCAAATTTGCATGGAAAAACTTGAATTACACGTTTCAGGCTGTATAATTCTTTTTTTTTGGTTGTATAGAATGTGATCATTGTGCTTCTTCTCAGTTCTTTATCTTTTTTTCCTATAAATTCTTCTCGATATCATTTTCTTCTGGATTTATGTTCTTGTTTTTGTCGTCTTCTTTCACTTGATTATTCTCTAAAGAAAGATTTTTTGGTGGTGAAATATCAGATCAAAATTGTTTGTCGATGATCAAAAATTTTTAAGAGTTGTTTGTACATATATATTGGCGTGAAAGAGTGGGAAAACTTGGAACATTACCATTTTTGGATACATCTTGCTAGGAAAACAAACTAATAAGTCTATTGAATCAATAAAAGAAAGTCTACTTTATTCTGGCTTGCCTTCCTTCCTGATTTTGTCTACCAGACAGCTAAAACAATCACAGGTAGTACTGTGACAAATGAGATAGAGACACAGTAATAGATGCTTGTGTTGCAAGGAAGCGATACTTCATTCTCTTTGGCTTCTCGTTGGTTTTGCAGAGCTTTCAAAAAAAATTATTTGCATGCCTTCTCTCCATAGTGCGCATCATACTTTTTAATCGATTAGCTTAAAGAAGAAGAACGAAACTCAATGAGGACCATTCATATTACTTTTTCTTTTCTCTTCTCTTTCATATTTTACTTTCAAAACGTGTCTGCAATTCCTACTAAACATGTGTGTCCTCCTGAACAAAGGGATGCACTTCTCGACTTCAAGAACGAGTTTGAGATTGGAAAGCCTTCTTCTGATCTTGAGTGTCATTATTATATTGGTGGAGCTGCTTATCCGAAGACGGAGTCATGGAAACATAACATGAGCTAGATCTCAGCTGCAGCTGCCTCCATGGCAGGTTTCATTCGAATACCTTTCAAAACATTCCTTTTCTATCTTCTCTAGACCTTTCATATAATGATTTACATGGTCAAATCCCATCCTCCATTGGAAAACTTTCTCATCTCACCTCTCTCCATCTTTCTTATAATCAGTTTTTGGGTCAGATTCCATCGTCAATTGGAACTCTTTCGAATCTCACCTCTCTCAGCCTTTGTTTTAATCATTTTTCGGGTCAGATTCTGTCTTTAATTAGAAACCTTTCGAATCTCACATCTCTCAGCCTTTGTTTTAATCAGTTTTCGGGTCAGATTCTGTCTTCAATTGGAAACCTTTCACATCTCCAAGCTCTTTACCTCAGCAGTAACAATTTCAATGGTGAAATCCCATCTTCTTTTGGCAGTTTGAAACAGTTGACCTACTTAAGATTAGAATTTAATCATCTCAGTGGAAACTTTCCCATTGCACTACTTAATTTGACAAATCTGTCGTATTTATCATTGGGCTTCAATCATCTCACAGGAACGCTTCCTCCAAACATTAGCTCACTCTCCAAGTTGGAGGATTTTTTCGCATATGATAACAATTTCGTTGGAACCATTCCTTCTTCTCTCTTCGCCCTTCCTTCTTTGGCATATATTAATTTGTCAAATAACCAACTCAACGGCACTCTTGAGTTTGGGAATATATCCTCACCATCTAATCTCAGGTGGTTACGCCTTGGCTGTAACAACTTCAGAGGACCTATTCCTAAATCCATTTCCAAATTAGCCAATCTTGAGTTTCTTGACCTTTCCCATTGGAACACCCAAGGCCCAGTTGACCTCAGTATCTTCTCGCATCTCAAGTCGCTTGAAAGTCTTGACCTGTCCCATTTGAACACTACAACAACGATTGACTTGAATGCAATCTCATCATTTTCCAAGTCACTCGGAGCATTAGATCTCTCAGGGAACCATGTTTTAGCCACAAACAACAAAAGTTTAGTTTCAGATTCTCCTTCACAGATGATATTTTATTTAAACTTGTCAGGCTGCGGTATTACCCAATTTCCAGAACTTCTAAGAACCCAACAGCGTATGGCGAGACTAGACATTTCCAACAACAAAATCAAAGGTCAAGTTCCTAGCTGGTTATGGGCACTGTCAAATCTGACGTACGTGAATCTTTCCAACAACACATTCATCGGTTTCGAAAGCTCAACGAAACTTGGACTATCCTCTGCCCTGGAGTACTTGTCTGGCTCTAAAAACAACTTCAGAGGAGAGATTCCATCTCTCATATGCGAGTTGCGCTCTCTAACGATTCTAGATTTATCAAACAACAATTTCAATGGTAAATCTCAAGAGCAATCTCTCAGTTCTGAACCTACGTCAGAACCGTCTTAGTGGAGGCCTTCCGAAAAATGTATTTAAAGGTCTAAGAACGCTTGACCAATTGGTGGGAAAGCTTCCAAGATCTTTGATTCAGTTCTCCACTCTTGAAGTTCTGAATGTGGAAAGCAACAGAATCAACGACACGTTTCCGTTCTGGTTGAGTTCTCTACAGAACCTGCAAGTTCTTGTCTTACGCTCCAATGCATTCCATGGACCAATACATCAAGCCTCATTCTTTCAGCTGAAAATCATGGACATCTCACATAATCACTTCAGCCGAACTCTGCCATCTGATTACTTCATCAACTGGAGTTCAATGTCATCACTTGGGATTCATGAAGATCAGTCGAACGTAGGTTACATGGAAGACAAATCAGGTTATTACCACGACTCAATAGTTTTGGTGAATAAAGGAACAGAGATGGAGCTGGAACGTATCCTAAAAATCTACACAGCACTCTGATTCCAAAGTCCATCGGCTTATTGAAAGAGCTTCGTGTTCTCAACTTGTCAAACAACGCTTTCAGTGGCCACATACCATCGTCCATGGGGAATCTTACAGCTCTCGAGTCACTAGACGTTTCTCAAAACAAGCTTTCAGGAGAAATTCCACAAGAGCTAGGGAATCTCTCGTTCCTTGAGTACATGAACTTCTCCCATAACCAGCTTGTAGGTTTACTACCCGGAGGCACTCAGTTTCGAACGCAGCCTTGCTCTTCCTTCGACAACAACTCGGGACTTTTTGAATCTTCTCTTGATGAAGTTTGCAGAAATATCCGCAAGCCTTCATCGCAACAGTCTGAAACGCCAGAACCAAAAGAAGAAGAAGATGAAGAGGTGTTTAGTTGGACTGCAGCTGCAATAGGATTTGTCCCTGGTATTGCGTTTGGGTTGACGATTGGATACATATTGGTTTCATACAAACCAGAGTGGTTCACGAGTCCTTTTGGTCGAAACAAACGCAGAAGAAGAAGAAGCACCACAGCTAATTAGAGAGGTAATGTTCTGAATTTGCAAAAAATATATAATAATAGAATTTTCTGGATGAATGAATAAGTGAAACTAACGTATATTTTGTTCGTGAAGCCTTCGTAAACCCAACTTGAAGAATCTTTTGCAACCAAACCAAATGGACCGGAGAGAAAGAAGCTTGGGGGAGAAGGCAACCCATTTATCAGTGTCTTAAATGATTTCAGTTATTGTTTCCAGTTACTCTGTTTTTTGTTGTGTTCTTTCCTGTGTATTTGTCTTTTACTTTGTCATTAGCCAATATTTCTCTTTTATAGCACAAATGTATTTCTGTTTATTTGATGGACATGATTATACATAGTTAAGGTCCAATCATAATTCATAAGAGATATATTTACCATAACAATTCATAAGAACAAAACAGAAACCAAAATTCTCCAGTTTCTACTCTCCGTGCATCGCTTCGTGCAGCCGCATCCCTTTCTTCGCCTGTCTTCTTTCGTCTTCACAACGTTTGGCTCTTCAAAAGGACCAATCCAGCAAACAAATGCTCAGAGGCTGAACATTCCTCTTTCTTCGGCATCAAGTGAATGAATGTTCTTGTTAACGTTTAGTTCTCTTTCCTTTAGGGTTTTGCGTTTCCTCTATATAAAGGAACAACTTGTATATTCACAAAGCAAGTAATGAAAATGGTGTTTCTTTGACCAAAGCTTTCATCTTCAAAGTTATTGTTCTCTGTTTGTTTCTGCTCTCAATATCATCATTACAAGGCTGCTTATCAATGGATTTCAACTGATCATCATCTCGCTTTTCCAAGTTTTCTTCCTCTTTCGCTCAGAAACATTACTTTTGCTCAATGAACTAACTTTCGATGACTCTGTTGTAAGTGTAGAAAACAGGCAACAGATGAATACTTGGAAAGCGCCAAGTCCAACGCTGATTTTATTAAACTAGAATCAACAACTTAATCAACAGATTACAATTGTTTGGAATTATGCAACTCTACTCTAGATTGCCCCCAATGATTCCTAGTTCTAAAACCACTCTTCACACGATCACACAGCTTGTGTATCAGGGAAGAGGACACTCACCTTCTTGCTCCTTTTGCTATTGAAGTTCAAGGCTGATTCTAAAGCTTGCGGCGCAAAAGTGTGTCCCACACCCTTTTACCCGACTTCCTATTTATACAACCTATCCGAGATTAAAACCCTAGACCTAGTTGCATATCCTTTCTTCACAAGTTTTCCTTTTTCCAGATTCTCGAATATATTAAAGACATATTCGAGACTTCCTTCTTTGTTATCAACAGGTGAGTTCCACGTCAGCTACAAGCATCCTCAGCTCCGAGCATCATGCATTCCCTCTTGAGCTGCTTCCTGATGTCACATACATCTTCATCTGTATTCACCATGTGTTCCACTACTCATCAAAGAGACGTACACCAATGTTTTTCCATGAAGCAAAAATTCACCAGATTTGTCCTGCAACAATGAACAATTTGGCAAATCAAAAACCACAGCACACGAATGTTCAAATCCTAAGCGAGATTTTCGTTTTCAATGATTCTAAGCTAAGAATTCGCGGAAACAAAACACCAAATTTCCGATTCATGCAGGACAACATCACGATCTCTCAATACATCGATCGTTTATATAGTTAAATTCGCGTCTCGGAGCAGCAAAAGAGTGGGAACAGCTTA